ATTGTTTTTTAAGATATCAATAATTTTATTGTTATATTTATTCGTTCGCTAATGTTTTCTATGACTGTTTGCAGATTCAACGAATATGTTACTTTAACAAGTGATGTCATTTGGAAGTTACAACAACGATGAGGAAGAAATGACCATTGTTATCTATCTATTCAACAGTAAAGAAAGAGGTTTCTCTATCAATGGATTCACAATAAATTGACAATTATTATTAAATGTGATTATCTGTGTATATTATTTATTCTGTTACTGTTATTAATTACTTGTTGTAACTTGTGTCATTATAATATAACAAGATGTTTTGGGACTACCGAGTCAATGTGCTAGTTGTTGGTAGTTAAATATAATTTATAATATTATAGTATGATAATGCCAGGCTATTATTGGTAATATATATATTTATATATTTTTTAAATAATTTATATATATTATTTTATTTCAATAATAAAAAGAAAAATATATTAATTGTTTTAAAATATGGAGAGATAAAATATAAATTGTACGTGTTGTAGAATGGTTTATCGCTGAGAGGACAACAAGTGTTCATAAATTTCTCACGGAATATAAATTGATAAAATGAAATATGTAATTTATTATAAAGAGAGGAAAAAATATACAAAATAATAACAATAAATATGAAAGATATCGCACGATCACACTTGGTGAATCTCTCTCGTTTCAATCGGGACGCGTATTATTTGATCAAGGTTCGTCACGCTCGTCACGTCGTCTCGGTACGTTTCGTCTTTCGTCTCAATGCGTTCTGTACAGTGTCTCCTTCGATGCACATCGATTAATAATGACAAAATTGTGAAAGCTGCGCGAGCCTATGTGCACGACATACGATAACGATAATGGAGTTTGCAAAGTATTTTCGAATTTATTTACTAAAGTGAATAAGTTTTACGCTTCCGAAAATTACATATTCTAGTTTGAAACAGATTTCTCCTGGAAGTACGACATGTGTATTTTATGTCTGTTTACAGGCTCGAGGATATCAACATTTCAGCAATGATTTCAGTTAAAGCTAGAGCGAGGTGTAGTTACAAAATATCGTAGTAGCGACAGAATTGTGAAAATATTTTATATATTAATAAAAAATTCCAATAAACGTACATTTAAATTATTAATATTAATTATTAGTAATATGTTTATATTTTATATTGCAAATATAATTAATTAATATGCTTGTTAATCTGAATTCGATATCTTATAAAATAAGTAAAATGAGAAAAAATTACTGAATTTTATTCGCATAAAATCTCTTAATTGATTTGTTTATACGCTTACATAATAACTTTGTAAGCACTCATCAACATTTGATGCAATCATCTTTTAATAATATACGCGGAAAACAATTTTTTCAGCATTTGGAAACGTATGCATTACACTCACGTGTTTAATCTTCGCTTATAACTTCAAGATATTTCTTAGCTATATTTCTTAGCTATTTTTCTTGTTTAAATAAAAAATATGCTGGTTTATAACCAGTTTTTTAGTGAATAATAATAAAATTTGCATGAGTAAGAAGAATCTGAAAATTATAAATTGCGGATGCGCAAGAGAAACATCATAGTGTGTATTTTTTTGTTGAAACGATAAAACTGTGTAAAAAATTTGGAATAGATAATAAATTGTAAGCAGTAAATTGTAAATAAAAAAAAAAATTGAAAAAAATATCATAGAAGAGCAAAAGGAGATTCTTTCAAAAAAACTCAAAACTATTTTAAAAATG